GAAGATGTTGAACGTCGCAATTAATTCGATACAACGAGCATCGTTTCGCAATCCAGGTCGATCCGTTAGCAGTTCCCTCATGATATCTGGTGCTTCATGTTAAGAGTTTTTTGCGTAATTCTTCTTCGTTTTCAGCAGAGGTGCATTTTCAAAAAGTTTAGGGTCTGTATAAAATGAGAAAATGTTCAATAGTACCATGGGTTTATTCAAATGCCTCCCTCTTACAAGTTTCATTGAATAACTCGGCTTAACTAGCCCGAAAATTTATTTGAAATTTGATATGATAATTTAAAAATTTTTGAATTAACTTTGAAATTAATTACAATTCACCTCGGAATGCACTGTTAAGTCTTTTCAAACAATCATTGATGCCTTCATACAGGCTAGCTCTGACAATTTACAGCCAAATACAAAAAAAATCTGATCAAATTTAAAACAGGGCGATTTCACACATGGAATGAAAAAAATCTACACTCATTTCCAAAAGAGGAAATGATGGAGTTTTGAAAAACCTGCTGGCGTTACTTTATTTCCCCATTACAATGATGAGTATCAAAAAATCGAATACTACCCATTATTCACGAAGATGATGTGAAGGACAAAAAAATTCTGAAACAATTCAACTAACTTACTTGAAGCTCTAAAAGTTCTTTCACAAATAAGACAACAATTTGGCTTTTTTGACAAAAAAAAACATTTGTCGCATTTTAATTTTGAATTTTCTACAACCGAAATAAAGAAAAAGACACTGATTTTCATGGGAAGTAACCAAAAATCAACTCGCCACTGAAGATGAAGAACAAGAAAAGGACAATCCAACTCCTGAATCTCCCAACATAGACGAAGCTGGAAATGGAAATCCAAAATCAGAAACAGACTCCCAAACTAACGAGGAAATGGAGTTTAAATAAAGTTTAATTATTGAAAATTATTTTTCCCTTGTTGTGTGTCTTCACTTTTTTATGTCTGTTAGAAAAATAAATCAATTGGTAAAAGTCAATTCGCACATAGAATCAAGAAAATTGTAGAAAAATAGAAAAAATCACTGAATCGTTTTAAAAAAAAATTTTTTGGGTAGTTTTCAACTATTTTACGAAATCCACTTTCTGCAAACAAACACTAATTTGATTTTAAGGGCACCAAAAATTATTAATTTTGAGATTTAAAATTTTATTAATTTTTCAACAAACTAACTCAAAATTAACTCAATTGCCACCAAATATTTTCTGCCATTTCATTCCTTTTTTTCTCAAAGAATCCAGTTTTGCCCGAGCACGATGAGCCCCATCCACCAAACCAACCACAACATCAACAACAACAACAAGACGCAGTTAACCCCACGAGTCCCGAAACAAACAACGACAGCACAAATCCGACGCCAACTGCAACCGTAAAAACGAACAAAAAAGTAAGCAATGGTTTTCTAGTTTTTCAAATGCATGCATATTGTCATCCGGCATGGATAGATAAAACTCCATATGAAACTTATTATGTATTTATACATCATTTATGTTTTAATATTATGTAAAGTTAATGTGTACTGGTAATACCATTCGATTATTTCCTATCGTCCGTCAAACTCAGCATTATTAAACATTTTTACAAAAAAAACGAAGCTGCACTTCGCATAGACATGCAAAAAAAACAACAAGTACTTTGAAAAAAAAACGACTGTTTTGTGTAATGAAGGTGAAACGAGCCAAAAAGAAACCATCATTGCCTAGCCAGCCCCCACCCAGCTACTCAGCCGCAACTGCACAGAGGGGGGCTAGTCAGTCTCTCGTGACTCATCCTAGAGGGTCGTCTCCTTGGGGTGGGAATGCAGGAGGGGCGGGGGCGGCAGTTGTGTTTCACGGTCAGATGGTCGAAACTGCAGATGGCAGACAATTTATGGCTGTACATGCAAGTGGCGTAGAAATGCACAATGGACAGGCTGTAAGGTAAATAAACAGTGAATCTTCAATATTTACTGTCAGTAACTGACTTGTTGGGATATTTCCCTGATTTAAAGCGGAGAGAACATCCTACTGTCTAATGCAAATATAACGCTATATAACCGCACAAAAAATGAGATAATAAATATATATCAAGTTGTCAAGTTAACTAACGCGGTTGCGCTAGAAACAGAAAAATTGATTCGAGCAATAAAGCAAGCAACCAACCAATAATCGGATGATTTCAGGCCGGAATCATAAATTTTTGAAAGCGCGCGGATTTTGACAAAATCTTCAAAAATGATATGGAATTTTTTTAGATAGAATAACCTGATTCTACCCGACGTTTCAAATTACTAAAAAAACGTTTGCACCCATACCGGAATTTAAAATCGTTTTGAGTAGTTTGAACTGGTCAAAAAATGGCAGTTTTTTTTCTAGGGCAATCCACCCTCAATTATTGTTTATACTGTCAACAATTCTATGCCAAACGATTTTGAAAGAAAAACTTTTTACTCAGATTTTTAACGCCTTGCCCACAAAATTCGTGATTGGTTTATGTTAAACAAAGAAGAACAAAACAATAATTTCTGCTGACATGTTAAGCCTAAATACAAGGAAAGAGCTGAAACAGATAAAAATCACTTGTATGTTTTGAAAACCACTCTTGTTCACTGATTACTGCTACATGGGCTCGACTGACCGTTTAGCGCTCAATCAATACTATTAGTATGCCGAAGGCTTGAAGGTATGGAGCATATTTAGTAGATGCAGCAACCGCTAAGTGAACAAGTTCGTTTTGTTTTTGAAACCGAATAGGGGTGGGTGCCTACGACTAACGATTTTCAGGAATTTTGGTTGCTGGACATCAAATTTTTTCACGTTCAACTTGAATTGACACCAGCGGATATAGAACCTTTGCGTATATAATGAATACAAAGCTCGTACCATGGGTAAATAACGTGTCTAGACACTGTCACATTTCCGCCGGTTTCTGTTTATTGACACTGTCACCTTTTTTCTAAAATTTTCTGTTCTTTTTGAGTGCATTTTTCTGAAATTTTGAAGATGTTGAATGTCGCAATTAATTCGATACAACGAGCATCGTTTCGCAATCCAGGTCGATCCGTTAGCAGTTCCCTCATGATATCTGGTGCTTCATGTTAAGAGTTTTTTGCGTAATTCTTCTTCGTTTTCAGCAGAGGTGCATTTTCAAAAAGTTTAGGGTCTGTATAAAATGAGAAAATGTTCAATAGTACCATGGGTTTATTCAAATGCCTCCCTCTCACAAGTTTCATTGAATAACTCGGCTTAACTAGCCCGAAAATTTATTTGAAATTTGATATGATAATTTAAAAATTTTTGAATTAACTTTGAAATTAATTACAATTCACCTCGAGGTGCAATTTACCAAAAAAAAACGCCAGTGACAAATATTATCAAATAAGGCAAGAATTACACAAAACTGATACCAAAAGAACAATTACCATATAAAACATAGCCAACGGGCAGTTGGAAAAGAGTAATGAAGCAAGTAATTGGAAAAAAAAAACATTGACTTTGCTGAAAAAATCTCAACTTTCGAATTTCAAAGAAAAAAATAGATGCCTTTTAAGCTCTTTGAATTTCTAGAACAAATTATTATTGGCGATTTTTGATAACATCAACCCAACTTGAGAAAACTGAATCTATAGGTAAAGTTTTTATTCGACTGGAAATTTAAAAATTAAATTACACTTTCGAAACTAGAAATAGTTCACGTTTTTTCGCCATTTCCATGTTCATATTTCGAGAGTGCTATTTACGTCACTTTCAGCAGACAGATGAATTTTAATTGAACTCAAAAAAGGATAAATACCAAAGAAAAACAGCAAGACCTATACAAGAGTCTTCACTACGTTCATCACTCTTAATAATGTCAAAACTAAATATATTATAAATCATATGAATAAATAATTAGCTTAACAACAAATCTGTGTTGGTTTTTTTTTGCAAACTGTCTATAGGTACAACGTGCAAGTGGTCGGACAAGTAGACGGTGGCAACCCCCATAGAAGGTCAATGACCCCCATTCAACACCACCCCCACCCACACGCCCAGTCTCATCATCATCATCAACAGCCAACAGTGCGAATAAGAAAAGGATCGAACAAAGGCTCTATGAAGCGAATTCAGTATTGAAATTACAAACCACTATGTTTTCAGAAATTCATCAGTTGAACTCAAATTTGAAAACCCACGTCTGCATTTAAAAGGTGCTTCAAAAATTTATCAATTTCACTTAAGGTTTTTTAAAAACTCATGTGTACTTATTGCTTTTTATAAGCTAAAAGAATACATTTAAAATTTCACATCTGCGTTTAAAACGCGCTTTGAAAAATTATCAATTTCCATTGTGTATTAACTTTTTGCCTTGAAAAGTGAAAACCAAGACAAAAACCACTTGGAGTACAGCAAAGACGTAATAATACCAAAGCAGTTATAGATTAAAATGTAGGTAGAGAAAAACAACGCCCGCTTAAACTCAACCATCAATTTATGATTCAAAAGGACTAAGATTCCGCGAGCAACAAAAATTAAGCCGCAATACGTTGACCATGAAATAAGGCGATATGTCCTAAAATCAATCCATCATCAAACCTAAAACGCATTATCAATTAGGTAATCACATGAATTGAAGACTGAGATTTGTAAAATATGACAATTTGTTTAAATGGGGTTCTTGCGAAAAAAATAGTGTTTCGTTTCAATTTTTTTTTATAAGAGAAGTAAATAAAATAAATAAATTCGATCACGAGTAATCCATTATAATTTTAATCATATTAATTGTCTCAATAAACTTAAATTCACACTAAAAATTTTTATAAGTACTTAAACAATTTCTAACAATTAATGTGGTAAAATGTCCAATGAGTCATTCTTCACGAATTCGTATTTTCTGGAAAAACTCAATTGTAAAAACATTACATTCTTCAATTGATGTAATTGTTGCGTAATTCGCTTGGCTCGTCTGGTAACTAAATAAAAATTCGGTTTACTGAATACAATTCAAAACTAAGTACTCACTCAATAGAGGTCATGAGGCCCCTGGATATGAACACATTGAGTAGTACAATGACCCCTGCCACATTTTTGTCCAGGATGGGGAGGGAATCCTGCTGGTAATAGAACAACAGGTGGTTCTTCAGTCTAAACACACAACAAAAAGTCTTAAATCACGACATTTTGCTGACAAAATATTTTTGTATGAGTCAGTGTGAAGTGTTCTTAACGAATTCGCCTTTACGCAAAAATAAAAAAATTATGCTTCTATACAGGGCTATGTAAAACAAGTTCACGTAAATACTTAAATTGAAAATTGAAAATTTCAAAAAAAAATTGAAAATTGATTTTTTTGGATCTTTTTTTGGCCCAATGTATTTTATGACCAAATCGGAGCGTGTACAGGGTGTCTTGAATGACCATCTATGGCATGACAGCCGCACATTCACTGTAAGTGGCATATGATCGAATATATGCCAGGATACACTCATTTATTTTCAGCCTAATTGTTGTGGAACATTGGCTCGTTATAATATCAGATTTACCTTTCCTTTTCTTTTTTTGAGATTTAACTGTAGATACCGTTTCATTGCTCTTCTCACTTAAGTTAATTTGGACATGGCTGCTAGTCAATCGGATACTTTCTCGGAAGTTCTTGCAGAGGGTATTGCAAAAACTCATACTTAAGTTACATCCTTCCTAAAAATGACTACCTTTCCTCCATTAACGAAGGATCATTTCAAATCGAATGCTGCCTTTGAAGCAGCCTCAAACAGTCTATTGTTGACATCTCGTCCTCTTTTAAACCAGATCATCGAGATAAAATTACTATCTCCAATGCTTCCTCTGCTGTAAAAGAAAAAAGACTACACTCTTTGATCGTTATCGCTCCAAGAGGCGGAGGACGACCTGACTACAATGAAGCAAAAGGACTGCAGCTCCTTGAGAAAACTATTTTTCCAACTGATGACCACTTCTGGCGATACGACCCAACAGGAATTCCAAAGACTGTCATGCTAAGCATGAACCAAGTGACCGGGCTTTGCGACGAAGAGGCAGTCCTCGAAGCCCTGCAGCATCAGTTCATGTGGATGGAGAAGTTATGGTCAGGGGAGCTTTTTCAATCATAAAGCTTCAGCCACCATCAGAATCCCCAACGAGAGCGCCGAAACCGACCTGAGGCAGTGGTCATTCAACGATGTCAACACTCGGCCATTCAATTTACCCTTTAAGCTCGATTTACCCTTTAACGCTCATGTTCCATCAATACGTTTCTGCAGTCTATGCAAGGAAGAGAAGAAGCCTTACTTAGGACATGATGACTCCTGGTGCCGAATCAGGAGACATAAACCACCAAAGGTCACACAGACGGCAGCTGATGTGGCCACAAACAAATCTGCTGATGGGACTCCGACCTCTGAGAGCCGAATGGATGTGAAGGACTGGCACGTGATGAAGGCGCGCAGTAGCCTCAGAACGAGTGGGGAGTTCAGCCACCAGAAGTCACAGAGACCGCACAGCAGCCCAGACGCGGAAAAGCAGACTCCATCCAAACTGCAAAAAAGAGACCAACAGCTATCAAACAGTCCTAAAACCTCTAACATATAAACTTACATAATGTCGTGCTTTAATTTTCTAAATAACAGAAGTTTCACTGGCATGCTGAAACCTCTAGGCATCCTTGTCCCAATAAGAAAGCCAGAACATGGGAAAAAATCGTATAATCACTACATTTTAGGTCTAAAGCTTAAAAAGCTAGACGTCCTAACTTCTAAAAAAAACAATCTCTCTCTACAAGATGTCTGGATTATAACACCCAGATATGCAGTTTGCATAGTTCAGCACAATTGACTACTTCTTTCACCATAGGTTGGAAACTTCACACGGTTTTTAAAAGTCAAATTGCTTTGACCTTTATAATTTTCAACTTCTGCAAAGTTTGTTGCAAGGTATTTGTCAATCTCCTCAGCGGGCCTTATCAGACCTTGCTGGTCTAACCAGTAATTTGACCGAACAGCGGAGAGACGAGATTAGTTTCGTGCGGTTGGGAAATGTAGGACATCACTTACCGGTAGATTTAACCTTGATTTACATCGTAATAACGGCTGAAATGAAAATAGTAACTTTGCATGTGAATTACATAGGACAAATGTATGATTTAGTGAAGACGTTCCTGTTTTCAGTAAGACTAAGAGGTTATAGAGATCATCTCAAAACGAATTGTATCCGTATTGATTTCAGCAAGCCAAAGTTTGAAAGAAAACTTCGTCGTGACTACGTTATAACGTTTCCAGAATCAAAATTGTATGTATTCAGCTTAAAGCAAAACGCCATTTTGATAAACTATAAACTGTATAATTAATTCCAAACTTGCAGCCTTTACAAGTTAGAAAAATTGATTTCATTATTGACCAATAACTGGAAGATTCAATGATTTTACCGAAGCCAAAACACTTCAACTCTGACATAGTCAGTATCCGGCAGCATTTGCTGCTCTATATATAACAATCCCCTCAGCAAGGACTGGTCAGTCTTTACTGGCCTAGCTAGTAAGCTAGCTAAGCAACGGGGAGATATATTGATTTTGGTGGTGGTGAGATTAAAACCCGATCAGGTCCTTAGTCATAGAACCGCAACTAACATCAGAAAAACAGCTATGTTTAACTATACAAAATCGCATGCAAAATTATTTCTGACAAATTTATAATCTGGACAAGACGTGCTTTTATACATTGAATTGTAGAGGACTAGGAGATCACCTAAAGCTTCTAGGCATCCCGATTGATCTGAATAAGCTAAAACCTGGGGGAAAATTACGTCATGACTACATTATAGAGTTACAAGAATCGAAATTATATAAATTAAGCTCAAAGCCTAAGGCCATTTTGAACAGTAATAAGATGAATCATTTAAACCAGCCATGCAGCCATAATAATTCAGGAGGTTTACTTGTTTTGTTAATTCCCAATAAATGGAAAATTGAGAGTTTTTACCAAAGCCAAATGGCTTTAGCTCTGAAAAAATCAGAATCCGGCAGCCTTTCTGCTCTATTTCTTTTAATCCACTCAGCGAGGACATTTTCACTCCTTTCTGGCCTAGCTATCAAATTGGCCGAGCAACGGAGAGATATAAGGATTTTGGTTGGGCATGATTTACACAGCCGATCAAGTACTGAATTATACAATCTCGACTTACAACATAGTGACCGGCGAATTCAAAGATACAACATAATTTGCAACATATTCGAGACAATTGGATGTTTTGACTTTCAAGGTCGGGAACAAAATGTATCCCATCCAATTTGACCAATAATTAAAATCCCAACACCGTCTAGACTACATTTTTTGCCAGAAAATTGACGAAGTAACGAACTTGAAGACATTATACACACATTACGGCAACCACAAGGCACTACAAGCATGTTTTTCAAATTTTCAAGATTTGATATATGTAAACGAGCAAAGTTTTTAAAAATTGAATTATAACGTAGTAAGAGAGCACAATAAGCCATTAGAACCGGTAGAAACATCTCAGGGAATGTCTGAGGAGTCTCCGAAACTGCCATTATCAGGGACAAACGACAAAATTAAAGCCAGACTTCGGGACTGTTTGCGTTTTTTATGCATTAAAAGTCATAGAACTTTGAATAAAAACAAGGAACCTGATTCACAAAGTAGTGCGCTTGCAGATATCAAACCTGTAGTTTCAGAGACAACCTCCGGACGTATTTCAAAATTAAATAAAATAGCGCGCCTGGATCTGATGGTCTTACTTCAGATTTGCCTCAGTGATCATTTCAAATCTAATGCTACCTTTGAAGCAGCCTCAAAACAGTCTATTGTTGACATCTCGTCCTCTTTAAAACCAGATCATCGAGATAAGATTACTATCTCCAATGCTTTCTCTGCTGTGAAAGAAAAAAGACTACACTCTTTGATCGTTATCGCTCCAATAGAGGCGCAGGACGACCTGACTACAATGAAGACAGAAGGACTGCAGCTCCTTGAGAAAACCATTTTTCCAACTGGTGACCAGTTCTGGCGATTTGACACAACAGGAATTCCAAAGACTGTCATGCTACGCATGAACCAGGTACCCGGGCTTTGCGACGAAGAGGCAGTCCTCGAAGCCCTGCAGCAACAGTTCATGTGGAGGGAGAAGTTATCGTCAGGGGAGCTTTTTCAATGGTAAAGCTTCAGTCACCATCAGAATCCCCAACGAGAGCGCCGAAACCGACCTGAGGCAGTGGTCATTCAACGATGTCAACACTCGGCCATTCAAATTACCCTTTAATTTACCCTTTAACGCTCATGTTCCATCAATTCGTTTCCGCAGTCTATGCAATGAAGAGAAGAAGCCTTACATAGGACATGATGACTCCTGGTGCCGAATCAGGAGACATAAACCACAAAAGGTCATACAGACGGCAGCTGATGTGGCCACAAACAAATCTGCTGATGGGACTCCGACCTCTGAGAGCCGAATGGATGTGAAGGAATGGCACGTGATGAAGGCGCGCAGTAGCCTCAGAAGGAGTGAGGCATTCAGCCGCCAGAAGTCAAAGAGACCGCACAACAGCCCAGACGCGGAGAAGGAGAATCCATCAAAACTGCAAAAAAAAAGAGACCAACAGGTATCAAACAGTCCTAAGCCCTCTAACATATAAACTTAACATAATGTCGTGCTTTAATTTTCTAAAAAAGAGAAGTTTCACTGGGAAGCTGATACCTCTAGGCATCCTTGTCCCAATAAGAAAGCCAGAACATGGGAAAAAGTAGTATAATCACTACATTTTAGGTCTAAAACTTAAAAAGCTAGACGTCCTAACTTCTAAAAAAAAAACAATCTCTCTCTACAAGATGTCTGGATTTTAACACCCAGACATGCAGTCTTAAAGATTTGTTTCATTCCATAAAATGATTACTTTCATGATGAAATATGTTATAATTGACTTTCACATCTCGAAAGCTTTCACAGTTTTGAAAGAAAATCGCCTCCATTCTCTAATCGTTTGCGCTTCAACAGAAGTAGAGGACGACTTAGCTGTGATGAAAACAGATGGACTGGAGGTCCTTGAGAAAACTATATTTCCAACTGGCGACCACTATTGGAGGCAAAATCCAAATGGAAATCCGAAGAAAGCGATG